CTGGCTAAGTTTTGTATTTTTAGTAGAGATGAGGTTTCACCATGTTGGCCAGGCTGGTCTCAAACTCCTGACCTCAGGTGATCCTCTTGCCTCAACCTTCCAAAGTGCTGTGATTACAGGTGTGAGCCACCATGCCTGGCCTTCTTTGTCTCTTTTGCTTAGATTTCATTGAGCTTTTTGGATCTGTAGATACATAGTTTTCTTGAAGCTTGGAATATTTTCTGTCCTCCTTCAAATATTTTTTTCTGTCCTCCTTCAGTGATTCCAATTACACATTTATTAGGCTGTGTGAAGTTTTTCCACAATTCATTAATACTGTTTACTTTTTTAAAACTTTATTTTCAGATAATTGTAGATTCACATGCAGTTAGAAATAATCCAGAGAGGTCTTATGCCCATTCCCCAATTCCCCCCATGGTAACATCTTGTATAACTATAGTTCAGTATCATAACCACTTTCATTTTTTTATCTCTTTTCTATTTCATTTTTGATAGTTTTTATTGCTATTTCATGAAGTTTATTAATCTTCGACAGTGTCTAAACTGCTATATATTTCATCTCAGACATTGTAGTTTTTATTTCTAGAAGTTTGATCTGCATCTTATTTTTGAGACTGTCTTGCTCTGTTGCTTAGGCTGGAGTGCAGTGGCACAATCACAGCTCACTGCAACTTCTACCTCCTGGGCTCAAGAGATCCTCCCACCTCAGCCTCCCGAATGGTGGAACTGCAGGTGCATGCCAGCATGCCTGGCTAATTAAAAAAAGTTATTTTTAGAGAGATGAGGACTCACTATGTTGCCCAGGCTGGCCTTAAACACCTGGGCTCAAGCAATCCTCTTGCCTTGGCCTCCTAAAGTACTGGGATTACAGGCATGAGCCACTGTACCCAGCCAAGATTTGCATGTTTTTAAAAGAGCTTCCTTGCCTCTACTTATTATGTGCAGTCTTTTCTCTAGCTTCTTGAACATATTGAATATAATTATAATAACTTTTAATGCTTTTGTCTACTAATTTTGTCATCAGTATCATTTCTGGGTTTCTTTTAGTTGATTTTTTTTTTTATCATGGTTCATATTTTTCTGCCTTGCAAGCCTGGTAGTTTTTAATTAGATGGTAGATATTATGAATTTTATTTCATTGGGTGCTAGATATTTTTTATTCTTATAAATGTGCTTGATTCTTGTTCTTGGATCCAGTTACTTAGAAATTGCTTGATCTTTTTGGGTCTAGCTTTATTATTAGGCTTTATTAAAAATGCATGTTTTGTTTTAAAAAGAGAAAAAGCCAGGTGTTATAAACAGTGCAACATTTTTTGTAACAGCAAAAATCTGTAACCATTCTAAATATGTATCAGTGACTCTGATTATACTTTAGTAAGTCTGAACAGTGGAACGCTCTTAAAATGGACCCTTATGATTTATTTACTGGTCCTACCAACCTTCCAATTTCAGAGTTGCTTCAGAAATATACTGCCTGACATCTAACTTTTGTTTAAAAAAGATTAAGTCTTATGAGGTTCTCCATGCATTGTTGTATTTGTAGTTCTTTCTCTTACTGAGCTGAAATGTAATAAGGGGAGAACAGTAGACAATGAGGGTAGTGAGGTAATGGGAGACAAGATGTTAAGTGTAAGGCTTTAACTTTCTCTCTTAGTGAGGAGGGAAGCTACTGGAAGGTTATGAGCAGAAGTGTACCTTGATCTTCCATTTTAGAGCAGGGGTCAGCGAAATTTTTCTGAAAAGCCCCCCCATATGGTAAATATTGTAGGCTTTATGGGTCACACAGTCTCCGTTGCAACTTGATTTACAAAGAGATGTCTAGCAGGATTTGGCTCCCAGGCTGCGGTTTGTCGTCCCCTGTTTTAGGATTGTATGGGCTGCTATATTGAGAATAGATTCTAGGGGGCAAAAGTGGAGGTAAGGAGTCCAGATGAGGAGCTGTAACAGTAACCTACATCAGAGATCATGGTATACACCCAGCAGATAGAAAGTGAATACACAGAGCAAAGAGGTTCTAGGACTGAGTCTTGGGACAACCTAACATTCAAAAGTCAGAAAGAGGAAGCAAAATTGTCTGATAAGGAATGGCCAGTGATATATGAGGAAAACCAAGAGAGAATGGTATTCCAGAGCAGAAAGATGTCAAGAAGGAGAGTACAATAGCAGAATAACAAATAACCTGATAAAACATGGGCAAAAGACCTGAACAGACATTTCCCCAAGGAAGGCATGGAAATGGCCACCAGAGGTATATGATGCTTAGCATCACCAGTGATCAGGGAAATGCAAATTAAAACCACAATGAGATATCACCTGACACCTGTTAGAATGGCTGTTATCAAAAGGAAAGATAATTGTTGATGAGGGTGTGGAGAAAAAGGAACCCTAGTACACTGTTGGCGGAAATGTAGATTGCTACAACCATTATGGAAAACAGTATGGAGGTTCCTAAAGAAATTAAAATTAGAACTACCATGCAACCCAGCAATTCCTCTTCTGAGTATATACCCCAAGGAAATGAAATCACCACCTCATAAAGATATCTGCCCTCTCATGTTCAGTGCAGCATTAGTTTACGGTAGCCAAGATAAGGAAACATCCTAAGTGTCCATCAATGGATGAATGGATAGAGAAAATGTGTATACAATGGGATACTATTTAGCCTTAAAAAAGGAGATTGTGCTGTTTGCCATAGCATAGATTTGGGAGGACATTATGCTAAGTGAAATAAGACACAGAAAGACAAAATAGTGCACCATCTCATATGTGTGGGGAAAAAGTCATATATACAGACAGTGCTATAATGTAATAAATATAAACATAAAGAAATAAAACTGGTTACCAGGGATAGGGTGGGAGGAAATGGGAAGATGTAGGTCAAAGGATACAAAGTAGCAAATATGTAAGAGGAGCAAGTCTAGAGATCCAATGTACAGCATGAGGACTGCAGCTAATACAATTTTATTGTATTCTTTTTTTTAAGAAGGGGAGAGTAATCGACTGTCCCCTTTCTCTGCTCTCCTGTACAGCAAAACTACTTTGAGGCCATCTCTTTTGTCCTGTGTCCATATTCTCTCACACCTACTCCATTCAGGCAATTGTATTGCCTTAGGGATTTCCATGAAATAAGTGGATTTTAGCTGCTCTTACCACAAAAAAGTAACTGTGAGATGGTAGATATATTAATCTGCTTCATTATAGTAACCACTTTACTTGTCTATATGTATCCCATAACATCATGTTGTAAACCTCAAATATACACAATAAAATTTCTTTTTTTTAAGAAGGGGAGAGTAATTGACTGTGTCAAAAGCTGTTGTAGGTCAGATGAGATTAAAGCTGAGAAGTGAACACTAGCATTTGGTGAGGTCAAGATCAGTGGTAACCTTGATAGGAATGGTTTCATTGAAGTCATGGGACAAAAGCCTGAATGGAGTAGGTGTGAGAGAATATGGACACAGGACAAAAGAGATGGCCTCAAAGTAGTTTTGCTGTACAGGAGAGCAGAGAAAAGGGAAGGTGGCTGGATAATTGGAGTCTAGGGAGGATTTTTTCAACAATGGTTAATGATTACAGCTGATACGTGTTCAGCAATGAACACAACAAATCTCTGCCTTCATGAAGCTATGTATCGGGTGGGGGCAGGAAGATAGACAATAATAAAGAAACGCATAATTATATTAAACTGCCTACGAGATGTTGCCACTCAGATATCATGTGGACATTTTGCATTCAACACATTCAAAATGACATTATCTCTTCCCCTCCCTTCCCCCACCTTTTCCTCTGTTTCTCTTCCTTGTTTTTATATTGTAAAAAATGCCACATTCAGGACAGAATCTTGTGACTTATCCCTTGCAACTGTCCTGTCCTCAAACTCAGGCGTGTTTTATTTTTTTCTTCACAAACAGTTCTCAGGTCTCCTCCCTCCTTGCAATCTCTACCTCGGCCCATGGCATTCATTTCTCTTCTGGATTGCTACTTTACCCTCTTAACTAGAGTCTCTGACTTCATCCTCCCCGTTTAATCATTTCTCCACAATGTAGCCAGAGTCGTCTTTTAAAAATATAACCTGAGAGTTTTAAGGGACTTACTCAAGACCACAACATTCATAGAGCCAAGATTTGATTTCCTTATGGCATGCTCCTCTTGGGGCTGGGCTTTATGTAGGGGATAGGAAGGAGCTAGATCATCTTAAGCTACATAAGATCTGAACATTGCCAGAAATGCATTGTTTATGCAAAACTGACAGCTCATCAATTTGTCTGATGTTGATTTGTTTTTGTAGGTGCACGGGTTTCATATTCCAGAAGGTTGGAAAGTTGGCTGCAACAGCTGTGGGAGGTGGATTTTTTCTCCTTCAGGTCTGTATGTGAAATGTTCTCGGATGTTTGGAAATTCCACCTGCCCATTAAGGAATGTGGTGTGGGGAGTTGTAATACAGTCCTGGCTGTGTACTATTTTAAATGCTAGTGACCGTTTGAGTCAAATTTTATCCATTGTACTAGTAAATGTTATTTACCCAGTCACATTTTATTTCCTCATGTGGGGACAGAAGTGCAAATTCCTTATCATAGCTCCCTTGAAAGAGTTTTTAAGACCAGCTCAAATATTAAGCAGATGTGATTTCAAAAATATAAGTGTGCTGTGATGATTTAGTCTCATATGCTAATATAGCTAGCTTTTACAGAGGGGACGTGGAGCATGTGATGAGAAATGGGACCTAAGTGACAGTACACTCAGATGTTGTCTGCTGTCTCCTTGACCCATAGTTTCAGAACCAGTGGTTGCCAGTTCTTTTGAGACTGCTTAGGAGAGACTTACAAGCAAGACTTGAAAAAGAAAAGGGGAGCAGTTTCTCCAAAAACAAAAGAAAACTGACGTTTGATTGTATTAAGCATACATTTCTTAGCTCTGCGGCATTGATATTCAAACCTGGCTCCGCATTGGAATCACCTAGGAGTTTTTAAAAGAGCCAACCTGTGCCACCCCTGACCCACAGTGTGATTTCATTGGAAAACTTAAAACTCCTGACGTGATTCTGTCATGCAGCGGTGCATAGTGCTGCTGTGTTGTGGGAGCCATAACTTGCTGAATCATGCCAGAGTCTCTGAATTCACAGCGCTTTGTCTCTTCCCACAGTTGGCAACCCTCACTTTGGAAGGTAAGTTCTGCATTAGCACCATGATTGGAGTGAGTTTTGCAGATAGGTCAGGTGAAAATCAAATGTATTGAAGAGGGAAGCTGGTAACTGGCTGTATCTGGGTTGAGTGTGGTATTGCTGCATGACAAATTCCCCCAAACCTAATGGCTTCAAATAATGATCACTTTATTCTCTCTCATGGTTACAGGAGTTTGGGGAGGGTTAAGGTAGGTGCTTGTGGATCAGAGTCTCATGTGGTTACAGGCCAGATGATCAGAGGATTGGGGTAGGTCTGGACTTGTGGGGCCTCTTTGTCTCTCTGTCTCTGTTTGTCTTCCCTCCTCCTCTCCTTACTTCCCCCATGTCCATAGTCTCAGTGCTCTTCTATGTGGTCCCTGTGCCGGCATAGGCTTCCTCACACCACCTTGACCTCAGGACTCCCAAGCACAGTGCTCCAGAAACGTGGTGCCAATTGCATCTCCTTTGTTGCCCAAGCCTCAAAAGTCATGTAGCCTCACTTTTGTTGGCTGCTTCCCTGTAGGCTTGTTAGGTGCTGGCTCTGTTGCTGGACAGGTCAGACGCCCTGCAAGGTGGGGCCTCTCCTTACACCTCTCTCTCCTTCCCCTTGACCCTTCAGGTGGAAGTGCAGTAACATCTCTATCCCTGTGGTTTCCCTTATATGCTGCCCCAAACTTCATAAACATCTTAATATTGCTTTGAAATGTCTTAATTTGAGTGTGTCCTCTCTTTCTTTTTGGGGCCCTGACAGAAATAATTGGTATTGAAAGTGTCTCCAGAAAGGCACCTCAAAATGAGATTTTGGTGTTGGATAATTCCAATATTCAAGGGGTACAGGGACACTGCTTTGCTGCAGAGGTGAAATGTGGAGAATTGGTGGCAGGCACTCATGTTATCTGTCACCAGAGGAGTGAGAGCAGGAGGCAAGCATAATGTTGGGAGATCAGTTATATCACGAGTTATAGTTTGACATAGGGATACAGTTTCCTTTTTTCCATACTGATAATTGAGCAGAATTTAGTGAATAATTCTTCCCATTCCCAACATTTGCAGCATTGTCTCTTTCATATATCAAAATCCATGTATGTGTGGCTGTGACTCTGGTTTCTGTGTTCTATTCCACTAGTCAACTTTCTATCTTTATGACAGTACTAAAGCTTAATATTTGGTAATGCAAATTTCTCCACCTTATTCTTCAGGAGTGTTGCAGCTACTTTTGTGTTCCTGCTTGTTCATCTAAATTTTAGATCAGACTTGTCAGTTATTTTCAAAAATCGTGTTGAAATTTTTATCGGAATTGCATTGGAACCATGTAGATATCTCTTATGATATTGAGTATTCTATCTGTGAACATGGGTTTTCTCTCCAATTATTTAGGTTTTCTTTAATGCCTTTGAATAGACTTTTATTATTTTTCCATATAGATCTTGTACATCTGTGATTCAGTTTTATTACTGGATACCTTATAACTTTAGTTGCTCTTGTGGATGATACAATTTTTAAAACTACACATTCTGATTCATGCTAATGTGTTGAAATACAGTTGATATTTTATGTTGTTCTTTCAGCCAGCCACCTTGTTAAAAAAGTCTCTTATTTCTGACTTGTCTGGGATTCTTTTGGGTTTTGTCTATAAAATCTTTTTATGCCATCTGTGAACAGTGAAATTTTTCCTTCACGTCTTTATGAATGTAGTTGCTTTTTCTTACCAAGCTGTAGATCATTTCCAGCACTTTTTGCAGCTTTCAGAGCCCAGCAACAACGCTTGCCAGTTGTCAGTTTATTCGGCTCCCTCTACTTGTTGTGCTGCAATGGAAGTAGGATGTTGAGCTTTGTCAGTAGAGGGCGCTGGAGGGACCTTGCAGCGGGAGAGGCTGCTTTTCCCAGTTCTGGTGTTGCTTTGCCCCTGCAGTGCAGTCCCCTAGTAATGCCAAGGAGAGCAGGAAGTCACCTTGCAATCCTGGTCTGGGCCACCCAGGGGACTTCACCACCACCATTACTACTTTTGCACCCTTGTAAAAAATCAGTTGTAGTTATCCAAGTCTGCTTCTGTACTTTTTATTCTGTTCGTTGGTCTGTGTCTGTCTTCTTCAGTATCACATGCTGTCTTGACTGCTGTAGCATTATAGTAAATCTTAAATCAGGTAGTGTGATTCCCCCAACTCTGTGCTTTTTCAGAATCATTTTGGTGATTCCAGTTCCTTTGCCTTTCCATATAAATTTTAGAACCAGCTTATTTATGTATCTATAAGAAATCCTGCTGGGATCTATAGACAATTTGGAGAGAATTGGGCATCTCATTTCTGTGTTGAGCATTCCATTCCATGTACATGTCGTCTCTCCATTTATTTAGGTTGTCTTTGAGTTCTTTCTTCAGCGTTTTGTAGTTCTCAGTATACAGATCCTGTATGTTTTATTTGATTTGTACCCAATATTTAATTATTTTTAGCACCTATTGTTGTAAATCATTTAAACATTTTTCATTTCCAGTTCAAATTGCTAGCATTTAGAAATTCAGTTGGTTTTGTGTGAATTTGTATCCTGTGACCCTGCTAAACTTTTTTAGTCTAGGAGTTTTTGTTTTTTTGTTGAAGTCTATGAAATTTTCTATGTAGACAAAGATGTCTATGATTGGAGACAGTTTGACCTCTTCCTTGTGAATCAGGATGCCTCCTAATTCTTTTTCTTGCCATGTTGTGCTGACTCTGAGTTCACTGCAGGGTTTTTTTTGGTAGATGTTCTTTATCAAATTCAGGAAGTTCCCCTCTAATCCTCTTTCTCTGAGAGTTTTATCATGAATTTGCGTTGAATTTCGTCAGATGTTTCTTGAGTCCTGCCTTGAGGTTAAGCCAGGCGATACTGCAGGAAAAGCAGGAAACACGCCACCAGTTTGGTGGTGCTTTGGTTTTCTGGTCTTTTCCAGTCTGCATGCTGCTGTTTTTATGTAAGAGCCTTCAAATAGCTAGTCCATGTATTCTCTCAGTTTAATAGCAGGATTTTGTGGGGTAAACAGAGTAAATGAACCAGAGCCACCTTTTAGATACAAACGTTGATACTCAACTATGGTTGCTATAAGTAATTTGTTCTTTTTAGTACTAAGTAATATTCTATTGTGTAAACATGATACAATTTGTTTATCCATTCATGTATTGATAGACTTTTGTGAATTTCTAGTTATAAACCCATAAGTAGAGCTACTATGGCTTGATTACTTGTGAGGTTGAACTTTTTCCTTTTCGTGGACACCTTCCTCTGTGAATTGCCCTTACCCATTTTTAAAGTGAATTTTCTTTCTTACTGATCTCTATAAGAAGTTCACTTTTTTTGAGTCTCAATGTTTTGTTTATGATACACATCACAAGTATTTTCTGTAGTCTGTTTGGGTGACTGGTGGTGCCATTAGCTAAAATAGGGACTAGAGGAAGAGCAACAATGCAGGAGGAGACTCTAGCAAAGTGACGACTTTTAGTTTGGGATATTTTGAGATATCCAGGTAGAGAAGTGATATTGATAGGGCATTCACTGGTCGGCTATAGTCATTCTCTTCATTCCTTGGATGATATTAATCCGTCATCAAAAAACTACATGCTTGAATCAGATTTACACTGCGTTTTAGTGTTTCTGCCTGCTGTTTTTTTATCAAGGGAAATAGGTATATGCTGTAGGTGTCTTTGGATGTGCTTCTCTTAATACCCGTTTATATGAAGTTGCTCATGAGAAATCTCTGTGGGGCTGGATGCTATATTTCTTCCTGTTAAGCAACAGTAATTACTGCCTGAATGCTTTATTCTGTTCACGTTGTCAGGAAACTGACACTCATGGGCACATTGTCAGGGTCATTCTCTGGAAACATTTGTATTGGCTGTAAGGTCCATCTCTTCACCCTACATCTTGATCCCCACCTTGATTTTCATCTTACATAACTCTTTGTAAAAGGGTTGTAAGAGTATAAATAAAAGAATTGCCAGTAGTTATTTCTAGTGCCAGGCATATGGCTTCACATATTGGGGGGATGCTGAATAGATGTCATCATGATACAAAGAATCAAATGGCAGATGTCTCCAAAAATGGAAAGTCAGAGGGTTTCGAGAGTCTACTTCAGGATTTATCCTGATGAAAAGAAATAACAAATCTGTTTCTCATTTCTTGTTGTCATTATTGTTGATACTGTAGCTTGCAAACCATACTGGGTACATCAAAGTTGACTGGCAACGAGTGGAGAAGGACATGAAGAAAGCCAAAGAGCAGCTGAAGATCCGTAAGAGCAATCAGATACCTACTGAGGTCAGGAGCAAAGCTGAGGAGGTGAGACTCGCATTGTTCATGTGTAGTGTGTGAACAGTGCTGACAATTTTGTGTGTACAAAAACAAGGCTTAACCCTGTTGCACCATATCTCAGTGATGGACAGGGCTTAAGCATTACAAAGAACTTAGAGTAATGAGACAAAACTAACTTGGAATATCATCACTTCAGAGCATTTTTAAAAGCTGGATAATTAAAGTGTTTGGTAACCTTTGTCTGTGTACATTTGTGGAGTGATTATCCCTTTAACCAGTTCTTGTAGGAATGTAGGGCAGCATAGTATGATTTTGTCTCCATACACACGTATCTCTGAAACATTTATACTCCGCTTGTTCTGCATATAACTAGTGGAAATGTCACAAGTATTCAGCTCCACTGTATATCATGAAAATAGCCATAGATGATATGTTAAATAAGTGGATGTGGCTGTGTTGCAATAAAACTTTATCTAAAAAGAGGTTCATATCGGATTTGGCCCATGGGCTGTAGTTTGCTAACCCCTGATCTTGTTCATTAAAGCCAAGTTAGATTATAACCTGGCACTGTAGGGACAGGAGAAGTTCTTACTTTTTAAAAGGATATTTTTTGCTGCTTCGTTATTACCTTTAGAAATATATCAGATGTCCCAAATAAATAAGTACACTGAACTGGGGAGAAATAAGCAAGGATCAGGGTGTCGAGAAGATAGCTGGTACTTTCTATAGCCTGGAGTGATGAGAGATTCTCCCATTATCTCACTCTAGCCTCACAGGGAAAACAGACAGATTGAGTGCAGGGGAGAAGAAATACCGTGTGTGTGCCTCAGGCTTCTCATGTTGTGAGTGGCTCTTCATCCTGGTGATTGGCAAGTGGCTGGTCAAAGCTGGTGCCTTTACCCAGAGTGGGAGGGTGACAGAGGTGGGTATCTACAGGAGCCCAGAGCCCAGATGGTTCCTCTTTCCTTTCTTCCTTCTGTCTCTCCTCAAAGTTATGAAAGTTATACTTTATTTCATGAAAACTTTATTATTCAAATGTTTATAAAAATAATACATGGCTGGGCACAGTGACTCACCACAGTGAGTAAAAAAAATTTTTTTAAGAGAGGTCTCACTCTGTCACCCAGGCTGGAGTGCAGTGGCACAGTCATGGCTCACTGTAGCCTCAACCAAGCGATCCTCTGACCTCAGCCTTCTGAGTAGCTGGGTCTATAGGTGTTTACCACCACACCCGGTGAAGTTTTAAATTTTTTGGAGAGACAGGGTCTCCCTGTGTTGTCCTGGCTGGTCTCAAACTTCTGGGCTCAAGCAGTATTCCCACCTCGGCCTCCCAAAGTGCATTACAGGTGTGAGCCACGGCGCCGTGCTGAAAACTTCTAAAATAATACTGGAAGTGTATATAATAAAAAGTATAAAGTTAATATTTGATTGGAACCAACTGTTGACTCACAGAGGGAGTTTGTTATAAAGTAACCAGATGATTTGGAATTTCACAAATTTGTGTGTTCCTGTTCCTGGCCTGGCACTGTCACAGGCCCTGGGGATGTAGTGGCTGGTTTTCTTACTCATAGAGCTGGTGGTCTGATTTGAGAAATAGGATGAAGATTTAGTTCAGTATTTAGCAACAAGATGACTTCAGTGAGAACAGCTTAGTGGGGTGGTGCAGTTGAAAGCCAAATTAGCAAGGTTGAAGAAAGAGTAGTAAAAATAATAAACTAAACCAATTTTTTCAGGAAGTTGTATGATTTTTTTTCTTTACCCCAATGGCAGATGACAAAAGTGCTTCATTTAAGGAAATGTAGAGGTCCAGGAGAGTTGGGGGAAGAGTGGAAATGAGGCAGGAAGACATAGGCATAGTTGGAGTAAGGGCTTACTGGAGGGTTAGGAGACAGTGGTCCTAGGAGGATGGGGTGGTAGTGTGAAAAATGTTAGGGGAATGTCAGGGTGTGAGTAGCTTAGTTGGTTTGGAGATGAAGTCACTGTATTTGAGTTCAAGAAATGATCAGGCCAGGATGTTGGATGTCTTGTTCATATGAACACTTTCTAAGGTGGTGATCATACTTAGGAGAAAGAGGAAGTCTGAGCCAGTTACCAAAATTGTCTCTGAATTTGGAAGGGTGGGGAGTGGTCAGGAGATTGGTAGAAGACAGACTAAGGAGCCGTAAAGAGTGTCTGAATGTATGCACTGAGTCTCAGATGACTGGGTTTTCCAGAAGGGTAGAGGGGAGGTGGGAAGCTTTGGGAACTTAAGGAAATAAGAACCTCACCTGTTAATCATCTTAGATGTGGTGAAGTGTGAGAATGAGAATTTATAGCATCTACCTGGGAGCAGGCATAGGTATAATAGAGATGATTCTTAATATTATTAACATCCTTAGCAAAACAACCCATTGTACTATCTTCTGTTTTCAGGTGGTGTCATTTGTGAAGAAGAATGTTCTAGTGACTGGGGGATTTTTCGGAGGCTTTCTGCTTGGCATGGCATCCTAAGGAAGATGACTTCATGTTCATTGTTCCTGTTTTTTTCCAGCCAGCAACCTCTACACTCCATCATAGGACATCGAGTCCCTCCTCCTCTTCTCCTTCCTCCCTGCCATGGCAAATCCGAGTGGCTTCTATAAGCGTCTGCTGGTACAAGTTAATGTGGCACCATGAGCCTGATGGTGGCAGAAGAGACAATAGTCCTTAGCTCTCCTCCCAGTACACCCCCTACTTGGTCAGTCTGTAGGTCAACAAGAAAGTTCCTTTACCCCCATGCAAGACACTTATGAGAACACGTTGCAAGATGGCTGACTGTGGAGGATGAGTAGATCCTGAAAGGTTGTCCCGAACTGTTGATTTGGAAAAGAAATAAGCACATAGATAACCTTATTGTGTGCTGCATGGAAAGGAACTGAATACATTTGCCTTTAAGCATGAAAGATTTTGGTATCTTGGTGTCTACTTTCTTTTTTAGTTGGCTTTACATTACAGAAAGAGCTATTTAAATCTGTTATAATTATGCCGACAAAATTGGCAGCATAATTATTATAATTGAAAAATCCGATGTTGTCCAGGAATGTTTTCTACCATACAGGATAATGTATCTCATGGCTGTTTCCAAAGGGTTTATTTATTGTAAAACGAGTGATTTAGGTGGGAAAGGGAAGATCTTGGATTTTTATTTCGTAGAAAAGGTTTTAAGCTTTGAAATGTGAATGAAGTATTCTTATCAAAACATTAGGGGTGGCCATAACTCCTCTGTGCCACTTCTATTTTTTTTTTTTATCTAGTTAGTTTGAAATATAACATTTAAACCAGAATTTTAAAGAAGTAGCTTTCCAGGGATTCCGAATTAAGAAAGATACATATTGTATCTTTCTTGTGATACATGTGAAATAAATTTCCGTCAAGTGTAATCTACCATCTCATGATGACCACAACCTCTAGAATTCTGTAAAAGCTCACACATGCACACACACGCACACACACACATGCACACACACAGAATCTTAGCATATTTTGCTGTAGTGGCATGTTACCATGTCTACAGTCCCAACCAGAATATCAGTCAGCTTTCAGAGGGTAAGACTTCTGTCTTCACCATTATACTCACAGGGCTTAGCACTTAATAGGTGCTGAGTATTTGTGGAATATATGAATAATGACTTTATAGAAAGAAAACTCACTATTAAAGGTTAGTTTTACTCAGAATTAATCATTAATCTTGGAGATGATCTCTTGTGAAATATGAGTGTGTTTCTAAGGCCATACATTTAAAAATGTTTGCATTTTAACCCGTCTTGAGAATGATGTATTGAATTTGAAAATCAAAACTACCAGTGGATGTGTGGAACTTTACAGACATCACCTATTTGTGTTTTTCTCCTTACATTTAAGGAAACATAAGCCATTTTGTTTGCAATATGTATGAATCATCTCAAAACCACAATGGTATGAGCCTCTTTGCTGCGTATTTTTCTATAAGAACTTATTTTTTTTCACTTTTTATTATGGATGCTTTCAGGAATATATAAAAGTAGAGAATATAGTGCAATAATCCCCCCATGTATCTATCACTCACCTACAACAAAATTATAGCTATGCTCATTTTTACCAATTATTGTGAAACAAATATCAAAATGTCATTTGATCATATTTCAGTATGTATCTCTAAAAGGTAAAAATTATTTCTAAAAATCATAAATATAGTACCTCATCATATCAAACATTAACAGTAATTACATAATATCCAAAATCTGATCAGTGTTCAAAATTTCCTTGTCTCAAGTATTTTACATTTAGTTTGTTTGAATCAAAATTCATGCAAGGTTCACATTGTATTTGCATGATTTGAATAAGTCTCTTAACCTTATATATCCTCCTCTAAATTTTTGTTTGCTATATATTTATATCTATATATATTGATATGGATATATGTAGTGACACTGAGTCATCTGTTTCCTGCTTCCCCATACTCTGCCTCTCCTGACATCTGGGTCTCTTGGGTTATGCCATATATGGTGATAGTGACTGCAGCCACTTTAGCTGTGTGACTTACCCACAGCAATGGGATGGTAACAGCAAAGCTAACCAAAATGCTCTGTGCCCCTTTGGGTTGCATGTGGGGAGACTGGCCACCCAGTGCCTCTCCAGTGGGGTAGGGGTTGTCTTTTGGTGCATCTGTTTTTCCTGTGATTATTGGTGAGTACAGCAAAGATTAGCAGGTGGTTCTAAATTACCTTGAGTAGGTTGTAATAGTCTGGCCTCAGACTCTATCCTGATTGTCTGAATTAAGATCTGTAGGTAGGTCTCTCCTGAAGTTTTTTCCCAGCTGGTTGTCTCTAGGACTGTGAGGGTCATGGTTGAGGTCAGTATTGCAGGTTGGCCTCATCCTGCTAGTATGAGAATGGCTGTGAGTTCTGCCCACTATGTGAGTCCACGGCGCCCACTTGGGATTGTACAGAGCTGGCATGGAGGTTGAACACGCACAGCTGCACACCTTGTTTTCAGTTTAGCTGAACCATCAGTGAAGTAGGCTCAGGCATTTTGGGGTACCTGTGAATCAAGGCCCTATTGTGCCAGCATCTTTGTTTCAGGTGGTGAAGTGGGAGTTAAGGTTTCCCCCAAAAGAACAGCTACCACTCCTCCATGCAAAACCGAGATGATTCAAGGACCAGGCAGCTCCACCTTTCAGTGCACTATTTTCATTTGACTGGAGAGGCCTGCTGAGCTAGGCACGTATTTTCTCCAGTAGCAGAGTCCAATAACGTTCCTAATTAGTGGTGGTGGGGCAGAAGTTTTTCCTTGGGAAGAGCGTTGTCGCTGTGTATGGCCCAGAGAAACTTGACTTGGAATGTGTTCGGAGTTTCATCGCCCCCTTGTGGCGGCGACGTGGTAACACCGCACTCAAGGCTTCCAAGTTGTCAACCAATAGGATGGCATCAGGGACCCCTTCTGTCCCCTTCCTGGCTACTGTGAGTCCGCCCTGCGTCCTCGCCACTTTGAGCCACCCTTTGACCCAGCGTCTCTGCTGCAATGGGACCTGGTGGGATGGGGACTTGGAGTATGCTACAGGAGAGGTAGAACGTTTGAGTCTTTTCTTTCCAAGGTTCTCCCCAGAGTTGGAGAGCAGAGACAGATCCAGGGGCACTTTCTGGCGGCTGCCTGCTCGGGCTCAACAGATGGAGTCCAATGTTTCACTCTCCCCCAAGGATGTGTATCCTCATTGCTGACACGGGAGCTGGGTCGGGGGAGGGATGTGGTGGTGGGGACCCTTGCCTGAGCAGCCCATTGTCGTGTTACTGTCATTGTGATAATCTATTAGCATGACTCTCCTCCCAAATGGCCACTTGTTTGCTGCCATCTCCTGCCATTCAGCCTCCAGATATTCATTAACAGGACAGTGGGGTTCTTGACTCCCCCACCACTGGGATGACAGTCCTTGCTACTGGATCTGGGCAGTTACTGTCTCATGGATGCTGGCAGAAGACGATTCAAGTTGGAGGACCAGATTCTACAAGGAATGAACTCTTGCATAATTCTAGCCAACATACTCTTGGGGTGGGTGCTTCTGGTTTTGGAAAGCAGAGTTATTGTGTGGTTAACTATTGTAAGAATAGTCTCTCCATCATTCTTTTGTTTGATGGTTGCCAGAAAGATGGGCATAACTAATGGCTGGGCTCTTACTTGGAACAGTTTGGGAATCTGCTTGAAAAAAAAATGGTACACTGATGGATTTGAAATTTCTGAGTATCATCAATGTTTCATGATGATGTCAATTTCTTCTCAGAGGGAAGCTCACAGCCAGTTTTGGACCCCAGATAAAAATTTGACTGCTGCCCTCTGCTCCCTCCACCAAATTATCAGCTTCATTTATCTGTCATGAAATCCAGTATGATTTCTCAGAAATCAGGCCCAGAACTAAAATACATTTTCTGCCCAATTCTCTAAGAGGTCACACTAACATTTGAGTAATTGGGCAGAAAACCTATTTTAGTTCTGAGCCTGATTTTTCTAGAAGTCATATGGTGTAGCTTATATTTCTGATGCTTGTATTCTTTTTAAGGGTCATGAATCTTAATACTTCTTTTTAAAAAGAAAACAGTGTTGCACTTTTTCACATTTGTATAAAGCTTTAAAGTCAGCTTATTGACTTGTCAAAACTGTCTTTTTAAATTTTAAGATGGTAAGAAATGACATTATTGAGAGCAGTGGTTTTCATCCTTGCTTGCACTTGGCAATCACCTGTGAAATTTTAAAAACTACTAATGCCTGGCTCTCATCCTAGAGATTCTGATTTCACTGGTCTGGGGTGCTGTTCAGGCATCCCAAGGTTTTAAAGTCTTAGCTTTTTCTAATGAGCAGCTGAGACTGAGAACCACTGAAGTACAGAGTTGGAAGCTGGTGCTGAAAAAATGAAGAGTTTTGCTTAACAGGGCTTTAAGGCCTTTTATATTAAGTGCCATACAACTTCAGATGCCTTCTGAATACTGAACACAAGTGTAATATTATAGTTCATTAAATGTCTTAGGAATCGTATGGAGTGAATGCAAGGAAAGGAGTTGTTGCACTGTGGCAAAGTGGAAGAGCAAGGGCTTTTTCTAGCTAAAAGGTCAGTCACTAACCAAGTGATTAAATGTAGCATCACTAATAGCCAACTTAACGGTTGTTTTTTTTTTTGGGGGGGGGGCGGTTTCTAAACTGGGAGATCATAGTTTTCACCTTCCTAGAGTTCTTTCCTTAAGACTGACATTCAGTGTTAATGTTGGTCCCTAGCAATAAGAAGCACTCAGTAAATGTTAAGCCTTTTATAATGGCTATTTTATTTTTTTGTATATCATAATAGTAGCTAAGAATAATAAGAGTTAAATTAATGTCTTCAAATAGATTTGTTGACTTAAACTGAGACAATCCTTTAAAGGAAAGAACTGATTTGAACCTTTCAAAACCGAAAGAAATTAGTATACTGATACAGTTTGGATCCACTGAGTCTCATGTTGAACTGTGTTCCCTAATGGAGGTGGATCCTGGTGACAGGTGATTGGATCATGGGGGCGGGTTTCTCATGGATGGTTTAGCACCATCCCCTCTTGGTACTTTACTCATGATAGTGAGTTCTCATGAGATCTGGTCATTTAAAAGTGTGTGGCACTTCACCCCTCACTCTCTCTTGCTCCTGCTTTGGCCATGTGGAGTGCTCACTCCCCTTTTGCCTTCTGCCATGACTGTTAAGTTTCCTTGCACTTGCATCCCTAGAAGCCCATCAGATACCAGTGCCATGCTTCCTGTACAGCCCATGGAACTGTGAGCCAACTAAACCCCTTCTTTATAAATTATCCAGTCTCAGGCATTTTTTATAGCAATGCAACAATGGACTAATACATATACTTTAGCGTAAAAACATTTAAAAGAGTCTGAAACTGGAGTAGTTAACTCAGTAAAAATAAGCAATAAAACACAGAAAAACAATCTATTTGATCATGCAGTGATTCCTAAAGTAAATCCTAGTACCACTATCAACTGATAATTTTAAATGTAATTTAGATTTGTAGATGGTGTAACATTAAAGTTGTATAATGTTTTATTGTTTTATTATTAACACAGACTTCATTTAAATTTCATGGGGATTTAGCTCTGTTACTCTGGTTTGTGAACCAAACGTCTCTAAGGCAGCATTTTTCTAAGTCTCTCTGGAGAGCATTCACACACACAGATACAAAACAGGTTCACTTAGGCTTTTTGAAAGCTCTGAAGTCTGACAGGAAATTAACCTGTTTACTTGTATGCAACCTAGCATTCCCCAAACTTACCTGAACACAGAAGCTTTTTTTTTTCTTCTGGTTACAGCAATTCCTAGAAACACTCTGAGGAATGCTGCTTTAAGGAAAACAGTTGGTCTCAAATAATCATGGTATTTTAACATCAGGAACCTAGCAGAAATTGTTCCTGCTTTTAGTCATCTTTTTCTTTTTTAGAGGACGGACTTTGGTGGTTCAAGCATCCATTTGAGGAAAGCAAATGGCCTGTTGCATGCTGCCTCCTCCTACTTCATAAAGTGACTGACAACTGTCAATAGGCTTCATTCAGCAGCTTTGTATTAATATTGTCTGGATCCTCTGTAACAGGTTTTTATTATTACGATATGAAGAATAGATAAACCAACTAAGTTTGAATTATCTTGCTGCCTACCTGACTTCCAATGAAAATTTTTTCTTCAGTTCCTTCATGATAAATTAAGGATCATTAAACATTACAAGCATCATTTCTATGCCTTTCTTACCACTGACTGAATATTAAGCACTTCTGGTTAGTTGCTGGGGTGGGGATGCAAAAGCAGAAAGAAATGCTCTTACTGGCATCTGGAAAGACACTTTTTGCTCTGTATTTTTGGAAGTACAAAAGGTAATGAGTTAGTTTAAAGGAAACTTTGAATTAATTTAGCATGTAATCTATAAAAGGTATCAACATTGGCTCACACCTGTAATCCCAGCACTTTGGGAGGCCGAGGTGGGCAGATCATGAGGTCAGGAGTTCAAGACCAGCCTGACCAACATGGTGAAACCCCATCTACTAAAAACACAAAAATTAGCCAGGTGTGGTGGTGCATGCCTATAATCCCAGCTACTCGGGAGGCTGAGGCAGGAGAATGGCTTGAACCTGGTAGGCCGAGGTTGCGGTGGGCTGAGATCGCACCATTGCACTCTAGCCTGGGTGACAGAGTGAGACTCCATCTCAAGAAAAAAAAAGGCATCAAAATTGTGATGCTGGAAGTGAGTCCTTTCACCTAACATACCTCACAGGACTTAAGTTTGATGAATGGCACTAGTGGTCTGAACTTCAAGAGAATTCATTAATACCCTATATCTAATAGTCTTAAAATACATTTAGTACAAAACCAAACTTTTTCTCTTAAACAGGTTTATTTTAGCAGCTCAGTATATTACATTCTACATATTTGTCTTTTAATGTGTTTATATTTCTGCCTGTTCTGCATAGATGGCATATTCATTAACTTTTATAACTGACTTTTTCATTTGCTATTTGCTGCTACCTGACCTGAAGAAAGTCAGGAGGATAAAAAAAATTCATTTGGTGGAAACATGGAGCAGCACTTCAGCAGAACTTTACTTTGATGCAGACTTCAGTGTTAGGTTTTCTTCCTCTTCTTTTTCAAATCCTGAACAGACGACAGATCTTCCCTTGGGATACTGAGCACAACACTTACGCAGTTCTCGGATGACAGCCTGACACTTTGATTCCATGTAGTTGTTGGCTGAAAAACATACAGGCAGAGTCTAGTCATGATCTCATAGGACTAAGGTACAGGGAAGTTTAGATCAGTGCTATCACCCCTTTTCACTTTCAGTACCTATGGAACTGGAAGAAAGAAGATATACCAAAATCCACTGAATTCTTTCAAATTTAGAGACCTGTCAACAGGTTCATTAGGAAGAAAAGTATGATTTACAAAGTGGTTGAAAGCGATTTTAATATATAATTTCCTTCAAGGTTGAGTTGATAGCATGCACCTTTTTCCAGGACATTGGTTTTTAACATCATTATTATTACTGGTCACTAATTTGATGAATTAGGAAAATGCACCTAAACCACACATTATTTTGCATACAGTTTAAGCTGATTGTTAGACCTCCCCTACTAAGGCTGTGCATCAGGAATTGGCAAACTGCAGCCTTAGGGTCAAATTCAGCCCGTTTTTACAGCTGGGAGCTAAGAATGGATTTTAGATTTTTAAAGGGTTGTAAACACACAACACATACACAATATATACAACAAAGGCCTTTGGCCTCCAAAGCCTAAAATATTACTTGTTTGGCCTTTTTCATAAAACATTTACAGATCCCTACCATACATAAACACTAAATTAAGAAGGACCTGACCTAAAAGCTCTAGGTCAGCTGAAGTTAATGAGTCCCCCAGTACTAAAATGGGGTACATAGTAGTTAGCTCAGGATAGGAAAGACAATTCTGATTAGAAAGGCAGTATAGCAGGGTGGGTAACAGTCCAGATTTGGAGCTAGAAACAAGGGTGGGGTTGTGGGATGAAAAGTCCAAGAATGAAAGCTAAAAGTCCAAGGAAATACACAAAGGATTTCTTTGGTGGTGAATCTTTGGGGGAACTCTGAACATTTTTCCTTCATACCTTTCTATATTTTCATGACCGTCCATCTCTATCTATTACTTTACTAGTGGGGAAAACTTACTAAAAATTTTTCAATTTCAGATAGCCTTATAGCTTTTTCTATTTGCTCTTCTGGCAATAATCATTTACTGATTAGAAAACTAAAATCCTCCAACATTTGGTCAAACTTAGTAGTTGGACAAATGGACAAATCACCTCAAATATGCTTTAGTTGAGATTCACTTCTGCCTTTAAGAGTTAGCTGATGGCTTTGGCAGCCTGAATTCCAATTGTTATTTCAACCCCACCTCTTCCAGATTGCTTTTAAAAAGTGAATTGTCAGCTGCAGTGAAGTATAACCAACCAATTTAAAACTAGCCTTTTAGTAAAAACAAACAACAAAACCCTTTTGCTTAGCTCAGTAATTCTCAACTCTGGCTGTGCATTAAAATCACCTGGTTAGTTTTCTAGCCTGATTCCCAGCCAGACCCTAGCCCCAGGAAGTCTGAATTGTTCTAGGTAAGTTTTTAAAGATCTCCAGGTGATGCTAATCACCTGGAGTGAAAACCCCTAGCTTTGATCACATTTTTATTTTCTCCATCTTTGATGATACAATGAAGAGAATCTTCAGGATAATTACATATATGTTACATTCTTAAAAAAGAGTTAATACAGATAAAAGAATAATTGGTCTCTTATAATTAGTTCACAGTGGAAAAATATTTTTAAAGCATTTTACAATATACTACCTTGTAAACATTTCTGTATCTCACAGGCTTGCTTCTGGCACGGATCCTTCTGCGGCATATCCAGAAAACTAAAACAAGAAAAATGATTTTTATTTTCCTTTTTTCCATAAAGACTTTAAAGCCCCTCTACGTGGAATTTTCTTCTGAGACAAGCAGTATGCCCTTACAATTGCTGGAAAATAATTACACTAAAAATACTCTTCCCAAACACAGGATGAATCAACTGTATTTTTATAATATCCATTTCATTAGGCTTGGAAGATATAAATAGCTTTACATGGAAGAAAAAAACCTTGAATTCAATCAACTCTTTTTGAATACTGTAAACCAACGTTAGGCTAAAGGAGCCGACGGCGCAGCCTGGCTCTATCATTCGCAGAAGAAACCCTTGATAAATGATTAAACTCCTTGAGCTTTTTTTATTACTCATATATAAAATGGGAATCATACCTACCTCAAAGCATTGACAGGAGGATTAAATGTGATAAAGTATATAAGGTACATACAATAGTGCCTGGAAGGCAGAAAGGACTCAATACATGGTAGCTATTATTCCCAAGACTTTTTTTTTTTTAAAGTAAAACCTTACTTTTAATGTATATAAACTGTTATGACTACTTTAACTCAGGAAATTTTTTTACAAGTAGTAAATGTTTTCCTAGGAATCAGCAATATTTGGTGTTATTACTTCCTGAGAAAGGTGCCAGTTAAGCAGCTAAAATGGTTTTTCTTGAAGTTCTTATAGAAACCAGCTTATTTAAAATATCTGTAATCAGAGAATGAATTTAAGAACCCACAATTTTGATCAGCAACTTCCAGTAATTTGAAGACACGATTTCAGATAGAAAAAAAGGCCCAGAAGCCTTTGTAGCTAATTTCATCAATGCATATCTCTTTTCAGAGCCCTCTAAATACTCAGTAGATCCAAATTAGGTCAGTACTGGGATGGGAAACACTGGAGCAAAACCTAGGATATTTACAGGATGGGAGAAGGAAAGGCAGGTGAATTGCTGCAGGGCAAATAAGCGACAAATAGATGTTGATGCTGCTAGGAGCTGCTCTCTTCTCTCTAAATCAGTACCAAGTCCTTGGTGATCAGGGCATCTGTTCTGTAGAAGGTGCTGACTTTTGTGGGATTCATCAGATCCCAGGTCCAGCCGATGATGTCCATTAAGGGTTCTATGGCAATTTCCAAAGGAGTCAATTTCAAGTTACGGATCCTGACTAAGTGCTTTTGTTGACTTGCTTTCTGCCTACGTAACCTCTCTCTGCAGTTTCACTTGCAGTATTCTTCATGACCCTTCCTAAACTTCTGTTTCTTGAGCAGTTTTTCAACCCACTCCCTCCCCCCAGGCCCAAGGGTGGGTGCACTGCAGTAGTGGATGAAGTGATTGCCAAATACTGAACAGAACAAAGGAGCATATCTTCGTAGAATCCCAGCACCTGGAAAAAAAAATCATTAAAATCACCACAACTGAATAGAGCCAAAACAAAGAGGGGGAGGACGGAGGAGAAATAGAAATACATACCAGGTTAGTCATCAGGCAAAAGCTTAAGCAACAGCTCCTGTACTCCCCTGACCTGTCAGAAAAAGAAAAATTTATGGAGTACTCTGTTACGAGAGTCTCAATACAATGGAAAATAATTAAGCAACATGTGTACCATTAAATGATGCTGTATCTGCCACAAGCGAGAGTTGTTATCCATGTAGCGCTCCTCCGGGTAGAGTTGCCACATGAGAGGTAGCTGGGAGGTTAGAAGGTGACTTGGCCTAGCTGCGTCACCTAAGGGAACCTGAATTTGCTGGACTCGTGCCCTTAGGAAACTCGTCTCCTAATGGAAAGGAATGATCAAAAATAAAACCAAAGACTTCAGAATATTGAGACTGGAATAGAAACCAAGTTACTTGAAAGCAAAATCAAAGAAATAAGCAAAATGTAAACAGTTACCTCTTCCACGACGGCCACCCACGTGCGCTGGTATTCGTCGCGGTAGATACCCTCTTGGTGAACCCAGAGGTGATCGGGTGGAGCCCCCACATCCTCTCCTGCCATTCTGGGCTTTGGGTTCCAATTCTAGCCCTGCTTTTCTCCACCTAAGCCTGCAGCACCCGCGCACAGGACACAGGTGTGACTTTTTGGGTTTGAATGAACTCACCAGTAAGCAAGGTGATCTGGTAGTAGCAACCACTAACCAGAACCAAACCTCATATATGTCTATTTGCACAACCTAAACAGAACCAAGGACATCTGAAGCTTTCTGCAAGACAACTGAAGTGACACTCAGGCAGAGCCTCAGGTAGTGCTGCTGACTGCAAAGCGCTCAAGAATTTGGCTAGGTGAGGAGTTCTGTGGAAATGTAGGACTAGCACTACAGGAAGCGGGGCAGTGGTCTCACACGTACTGCATTCACAAGCGGTGTCTGGCAAAATGTAGTTAGCAATAGAATATGCAAAGAGCGTGCCTAAGGACACACTTATTTTGGCAGGAAGGCAGTATAACAGACACATGCATGCCATATTCCCCAGGTAAAAGCCACTTCCAAGCAGTTTCCATTTTAAAAGGTAAGATTCTGAAGGACATATGTGCATGGCTTTCAGAGTTGAAATTGAAAGTTTGTTTTAAGGGCAAAGGATCTATTTATCAGTGTACTAAGAAAGTTTACAAATAGCGGATGGGCATTTCTAGAAGGGGATTTTCTTGTTAGGAAGAGTAAGCTAGCTTCATGGAATTTCTGAGCTGCAAGAGATTTTGGGGATCACAGTGATTTGGAGCTGAGTGAGTGCAAATGAAAGTTATCCATCTAGGTCCTTGTTTTATTTTAGTAATTCTGCAGGATGTTACAGGAGCCCATGTTTCCATAGAGGACTAGGTTTAAATTTTGACTTCCTAAGCCAGAAGACCAGAAGCACATTTGAGAGGTGTAAAGGAAGCATACCTCCTGAAGCATTTGAGTGGTAGGGCAAACTCTCTCTATAATGATCCTCTGCCCAAGCCCCAGATCTCATTTTAGGACCTCACAATAACTTGATGTGCATTTGCATGAGTGAATCTTCTAGACTTTACTCACAGCATTATAGCGCAGTTGTACTGTATTTCTACCTTTGGCCAGAGTATAGATACGGCATTGGGGGAGCTGCCCCACAAAACAAAGACCTCCTATTCTCATTAGGTGGGAAAGGAAATGCAGCGTGGGAGGGTGGTTGTTAGAGTCCTCAAAGTGAGACTGTCAAGAGCAACCAGATGCTTCACCCATTATACCCTGAGTGCATCTGACTCTGAGCCTGGTGCAAGCTCCTGTCTTAGTTTTCATACATATGTGCTCTCTCATTTCAAACTCATCTAAACTTTCTCCTTAACCAAATCCTGATTTCTCTCAATGGCAACACCACCATTCCTGATCCTGCAGACTCAAAACTTTTGAGTTATCTTGGATTTCTCCCTCTTATTCAGTTGCTACATCCTATATGTCACCAATTCCAGCAGGCACTACAACTACCACTGCAGTTGAGATCAACCTTCCCCAAATACCAGGCTCATTTCTAGCTCCATACCCTTGCTCTTGCTTTCCATTTGCCTAAAATGCCTCCCTGGGCCTCTCTGCCTATCTTAAGTGCTATTATAGCAGAGTCCAGGTGCCTGCCTCCTCTATGAAAACTTTAGAAAATTCTTGCCTCTTTTGACTACTGTAACATTTATATTTAAACAAAACCACCTTACACATTTGCTTTGCTTATTTCGGAAGTCCTGTCTTCCCGAAAGCACAGTACTGTATACTGCTCAACAGCAGGCATGACACAGTTCTGGGCACCCCACACAGTTCTGGGCACCCCAAGTCTCAGATACTGGTCAAGCAATGTTTCTGTGAACAGGTGTATATGTATGGTGGGTAGGGAAGGGAAACAAAGGAACGCCACAGTGGTTGTCATGATTGGCTACGTATATGTGGGTAGAGATTGATTCTCTAGGCATAAGCCTCTGGCTATACATAATTTTTTTCCAAAGCCCCCCCTTTTTTCCCATTTGCAGATACAGTTGTTTTGCCTCTCCTCCTTCCCAGAGCTTTGGAAAAGAGAAATACAAACAAAAACCTGGTAAATACTAACGTCAAAATGAAATATATTAAATTCGGATTTCAAGCACAAAAGACTTAAATGTGGCCAATAACTGTTTTGAAAAAGTGGAAACCATGTGTCAACTTCATAGATAAGTCCTAGCAACAACCATGTTGACATTTAAATTTGTTTTGAATGGAAAACAAAACTGCATTGCTTATACTGACATGAAAAGGAAATAATGCCAGTGGAATAGAGGGCAAAGAGACTGGAGATGATGGTCTGAGTTACTGAGTCACTACAAAGAGGCCTATGAGTTACTACAAAACATTCTCAGAAGAAAGGCAGTGTGATGTGCTGCTGTGACCCGAAGCATCAGAGGGATGAGCCTGGGAACCACCTCTCAGCACAGTATCCTGGATTTGTGTGTGCTACCATTCAGAGGGCATGCAGGCCCAGAGAAAGACAACTGCAGTGACCAAGGGACAGAGAAGTCACCATATGAGCACGAACAAAATCCTCAGCACAGAAATGCAAAGGCTGAGGGAGAGGAATTCAGATCAAAGCCTATAAAATCACAGGTTTTATGAGTGGAAAAATGTGATTCTTAGAAAACTTGCTCCCAACATTTCCTTGGTCAAATAAGTTTGGGAATCTTGGAGAGTCATAAAGCACATTAGTGTAGTAACTGTTCTGGCAAGTTATGCAGTAAAGAAACTTTATGTTAACATTTCCCAAATTTATTTGACTAGAGAACATTTTATTTGCACATGATACTTGTTTACAAAATTCAGGACTTCTCGAACTAAGACGAATCTTTTAAAACCTCAACATAGACTTAGGTACAAGGTGCAATACAATACATGGAATATAAACTTGTGCAACTCAACTCAAGGAATACTGCCAGCTGCAAATACAAATGAGTTCCAAAAATGTTTAGATAACTGCATAACTTTATCATCCACTAGAAGAGATTGTCCCCATGAGGGTCACCTTGATTTCAGGGCCAGAGAGCACACTGGCCCAGACAGACAATTTCTTAGTAAGGCATTTTGTAAATTAGGTTTTAAATGGGTGACATACAAGATAGAAGGGCTCTTAGGTAGTAATCTAAGTAAAACTATCATTTTTCCTTTACAGAATAAATTCTTTTGTGTCTTTTTAAAATAAGTATAGTTTGCTTTAATTGCCAGGTTGATGAACAGTTTTTAAACATTGATCAGTTGAATACGCTTATTTTATTAGAAGTCAATTAATAAACTCGTCCAATTACAATGAGTGAAATTACCAAGAACACAGGCCCAGGCCTGTGTACGAGTCCTGAGTCTGTCACTTACTAGCTTTGTGACCTTGGACAAGTTAACGTCTCTCCACCTCAATTTCCTGAGGTGTAAAATGAGAATTAAAGAACATATTAATCACGATAGTCTTTATTTAGCATTCCTATATGTTTACATATATTGACTCATTTAATTTTCACAATCTTCATAGGGCGCTATGAGGTGGGCAGTATTATTATCATCCCCACTTAAAGGTGAGGAAAAGTAAGGCACAGAGAAGTTAGGTAACTTGCTCAAGGTCACACAGTGGGGAAGTTGTTGAGCTTGACTTCAACTGGGGCAGTTTACATGTACCAGGCATATAAATGCTTAGTATGTAGCATATAATAAGCTTGCCATAAATGTTAATAATTTTGGTCTACTCCAATTAAATGCCTGGAGCTGTAAAAGGCAGCCATGAGCATTAGAAAAGCTAGTGAACCTCATTCTGGAATATGAGATTGACTACCGCCGATAACAAACAAAAGGTATTTTTCTTCTTGAAAGTGCCTAAAGGCACTATATCCCATCACCAAATATTAATATCATAATAATAAGAACAGCCGTTCCTGCTCCATCAGGACGGGGCATACTAGCCACAAACAGTAACTGAAAATAACATATGATATAAAATTGAAACAAGAGAAAATTTAGACAGGTCCAATGTAACTGCACACGAAAATTTTCCAACCTTCATCATGATCAAATTAATTATAGAAAGATGTGCCATGTGATCCTTACAGATCGTTAGGTAAAAACGGAGGCTGCTGGCGTGCACATTACAGATCGTTGCACTGGATGGGGACCCTATGTGTGGGGAGACTTGGGTTGGAACTGACTTGGGAGAAAAGAGCAAAGCATCAACACTTGAAGTAGCACCTTGGGAATGTTCCCTTTCCAGTACTGCCATACCTGCCTGGCTTCAAAACTACACAAAGTAGAAAACCAAATCAAAGACACGAACACGGACGGGCTGTGGAGGCGGCACGGCATATATTGTGCTTTGATTTAGAATCGCTTCCAAAATCCACGTGTGATTCCTAGACTTGTGAGTTGGAAGATCTGTACTTTTATCCTTGGCACGTTTGACAAACCTCGAAATAAAATTACTTTTACATATATTTTCACTGTCTGATATCATCGAGACAAGGAGACCCGAGGAAACTTGCATTCTGGATACCTAATGTGATACATCCGAACTTGAATAAAAACTGAAGTTCTCCATTTCCCCTTCCCTGTATCCAACAAATAGCTACCTAAAAGCCTTTGTAGAAAGTAGCAGCAGCCAAGCTTAAGAGTGATACTTTTTCAGATACAGTATAACACTGTTTCTGCAAAAGGTTACTCACATGAATATAATGTTTCTTGGGCTAATTAATCCGCCTTGAGAACAGCTAGGCTAAAACTTCCAGGTCTCCCACCCTGGGCCACTCAAGCCAGGATCGCGACGTGAGCCCGGGGTGAGCCGAGGGGCATCCCGGGCCGAGGTCACTCGAACCGAAGTTATGAGGCGCGGGCCGGCAACCGGAAGTGGTCCAGGGAGAGTTGTACGAGATTCGGGGGCTGTGACTTGGAAATAAAACAAAATAAAATAAAACCTTAACTGTTTTGGGACTGACTTTCAAAAGAGCGTCCCCCTGGCTCAAGAGGCCGGCGTTCGCGGAGATGTCGTCTTAAAGGGCTGTCCCCCAAGCGTGTAGGCCGCGCACGGGTCTCCTTAGCGGGCGGGCAAAATGGGCGCCGGTACTCGGGAGGCGCCTGCCCAG